CATTCTCTTTACCAAAAGTAATATTAGTTTGATGTAAACGGATGCTGGATGTACCCATGTGTATTGCTTAAACAAACACGGTGGGGATTATCCCTTGTCCAGCTACTGGACAAGTAGGAAGTCACCGTTTGTTGTACCCAAACAGGATGTTAGTTGTGAAAAGCTCGTTACAGACATTAATTGTTATTTTAACTATTCACAATGTCTGAGTTCACACATTCAGCAGTGTATGCAATGTTTTTTTTTTAAAGGATTAACAGAAATAGCAAGACTTATAGAGTGACAGCTTCCTGACGTATCAGTATAGCTGCAAATAATTTTGTAATCTGATCTAAATACTTTCTACGAATATTGTGATATTTTTTTCCTCTAGGGAATTGACTTAATATACTCTGCAAAAAAGAAACGCAAAAGGAGTAAAATCGTTAATAGCTGACAGAGTGTTGCCGACATCTATACAAAATTAATACAAAAAATGGGGAACTGCAGTCATTTGGTGAAAAAATCGCAAACACACAACCACGTGGGGGTCAGGCGCCTGACACACCAGCATGACATGCACGTGCAACATCACTTGTCTGGCTATAGAAACGTTGTGTTTTCATTTGCATGCCATCACAACCCTACAGATAGTAAACAGCGAAAACATGCCACAACTGACGGAAGCCCAACGCAAAAACGCCATTGGCCGACTGCAAACAGGTGAATCATTTTCAGCTGTGGCCAGTTTTTTTTCCGCGTAGCACAAAGCACCATTCTAAGATAGGAAAAGCGTTATCAGACACACGGAACAATACACGTAGCGACCACGTATCACTACTAGAACACAGGACAGATTCATACGGCTACGTCTGAAGGCTGTAGATATTCGCGCTAGACGACCAGTTCGTGGTGTCATTTTGACGGCCATGCATTGTCGGCTGCGACGTCAGTGGTGTTATGGTCACAGAGTATGGCTGCGACGGAGACAGGTTTGGTTTAGTGACGAGTCAAGTTTTATGCTTCCCCATGCGGATGGTAGGAGTCGTGTTTACAGGCGTCGCACGAAACCTGCAGGAAGTGGGCAGACTTGGTTGTGGTAGTGTGATGATGTGGGCAGCCATCTCCTACACTGGTAGAACAAACTTGGGAATCTAACGACCGACGTTACAGGGATGACATTTTACGGCCACTCGTCCTTCCCATTACACAACAAGACAACGCCCGACCTCACACGGCAATACAAAGAGCCTTTTCAAGAATCACAATAACCAGGTCATGCCATGGCCCTCCAGATCTCCAGATTTAAACCCAATCGAACGTTTATGGGATGCACTTTATCAACGACTGCGAGCACATCAGTAACAACCACATAACCTCCGACAGTTGACACAAGCTCTGCAAGCAGAGTGGGTGAATATTCCCCAGGCCACAATTCTCATTGCTTCCATGGGACGACGATGCCAGTTTTTTTAGGACTCTAATGGTTGCCATACAAGATACTGAGGACAGTTGACCTTCACCTTGAAACCCTACCCTTCCATGTATACCATATGGAACCTGGGTCAATGACAGTGATGTATTCCAATTTTCAACAATCGAATACCTTCTGTTGAATATACACACACACACACACACACACACACACACACACACACACACACACACACACACACACACACACACACACACACACATCTACAACCACTTTTGCTTTTCTGATTATCTGGGAAATTGATATTTGCAACAAAGTCGTAATAATAGTTTTCACTTTACTTGCCCTTAATACAAGTTTCATTAACACAACATGCTTTCAACAACTCTTTTCACAATACAAGTCTGGCCTCAACAACAATGTCCTCACTACAAAACTGGTCTCACTAACACTGTGTTCAATACATGTCTGATCTTCTCAACACTGTTCACAATACAAGTGTGCCCTCATCAACATTGTTCACAATACAAGTGTGCCTTCATCAACAGTGTTTACAATACAATCGTAGTATAATCAACACTGTTCACATTAAAGCTCTTCCCTCATCAACATTGTTCACAATACAAGTGTCCTCTCGTCAACATTGTTCACAATACAAGTGTCCTCTCGTCAACATTGTTCACAATACAAATGTCCTCTCGTCAACAGTGTTCACAATACCATCATGTTATAATCAACACTGTTTATAATACAAGTGTGCTCTCATCAACATTGTTCACAATACAAGTGTCCTCTCGTCGACATTATTTACAATACCATCATGTTATAATCAACACTGTTCATAATACAATTGTGCTCATATCATCATTGTTCACAATGCAAGTGTGCCCTCATCAACATTGTTCAGAATTCAAGTGGGCCCTTATCAATATTGTTCACTATACAAGTGTGCCCTCGACAACATTGTTCACAATGCAAGTATGGTCTCATCAACATTGTTCACAATACAAGTGTCCTCTCGTCAACATTGTTCACAATACCACCATGGTAGAATCAACAGTGTTCACAATACAAGTGAACCCTCATAACAGTGTTCACAATACAACTCTTCCCCATCATCAGTGTTAACAATACAACTCTTCCCTCATCAACAGTGTTCACAATGCAACTCTTCCCTCACCAACGCTGTTCACAAGACAACTCTTCCCTCATAAACATTGTTCCCAATACAACTCTTCCCTTATCAACACTGTTCACAATACCATCATGGTATAACCAATGTTGTTTTACAATACATCTTTTCCCTTATCATTATTGTTCACAATACCATCATGGTATAATCAACAGTGTTCACAATACAACTCTTCCCTCACCAACAGTGTTCACAATACAACTCTTCCCTCATCAACATTGTTCTCAATACAACTCTTCCCTTATCAACACTGTTCACAATACCATCATGGTATAACCAATGTTGTTTACAATACAACTTTTCCCTTATCATTATTGTTCACAATACCATCATGGTATAATCAACAGTGTTCACAATACCATCATGGTATAACCAATGTTGTTTTACAATACAACTTTTCCCTTATCATTATTGTTCACAATACCATCATGGTATAATCAACAGTGTTCACAATACAACTCTTCCTTTATCAACACTGTTCACAATACCATCATAGTATAATCAACTTTGTTTTCAATACAACTTTTCCCTTATCATTATTGTTCACAATACCATCATGGTATAATCAACATTGTTCACAATACAACTCTTCCCTTATCAACACTGTTCGCAATACCATCATAGTATAATCAACTTTGTTTACATTACAACTCTTCCCTTATCATTATTGTTCAAAATACCATCACAGTATAATCAACTTTACTTACAATACAACTCTTCCCTTATCAACATTGTTCACAATACCATCACAGTATAATCAACTTTGTTTATAATACAACTCTTTCCTCATGGACACTTTTCACAATACCATCATGGTATAATCAATGCCCTCGTCAACATTGTTCACAATACACATGATGGATACTTTGTATGACTGCAATGTTGAGTAAGGTTTAATTTAGAATAGATATACCGAAATACTGATCACTGACATATAATACTATCACCGTAAGTAAATATAAATTACATTCAGCAGAACTAATATAAGATTGTATTATGTCCTTGTTATGTCAGCGCAACGTCCGTGTGCTTCCCTCCCACATTCATCTGACGTAAAGAAATACTGATCAAAGCCTTGTGAAACCAACACCCGCACTCACGCACTTACTTAAAATACCTGTTGTTTGTTTGTTATTTAACGCGGCACTCAACAGTATTCCCGCGATTTGAAGGCGGTGTGTAAATAATCGAATATGGACATATAAACGACATCATGGGTATCCACGCAATTTGAGAACGACACCTGCATCAACCAAATCAACAAACCTGACCACCCATTCCGTTTGCCGCCTCTCACGACATGTTGTTTGCTGTAGACCAATTCCAATGGTTCGATCCCGCCATGGATCCGATGTGTGAAGCCATTTCTCAGTGCCCCACGTCTTCGGGGTGTCGAGCGAACGCTTAACAACTAGGCTACCCCACCTTCCGTTTATATTAGGAAGGGAGGCACGGGTCGTCTTGGGCGCCGCGATTCGCTGTGCAGAGTTACGTCCCTTTGGCACACCAGAAACCTATGATTGTGGTTTCGAATCCCGATACGCCCCTATTATATTTCTAGGTTTGTCAGCACCATACCCGTGCTCGTTGGTTTCACCGAAGTGGTAAACGTCTGAGACATGCATCACTTCGGGCTTTCCTCCCACATTAAGCTGACACGCCGTGATATAACTGGAAAAATGTTGAAAGCGGCGTTAAACCCAACTCACTCACTCACTATATTAGGAAGAGGAAGGAGATGCTGTGCTCGGTGTGACGTTTCCCGCTTGCTTGGGTTTCGTATAGCTGTAGACCGCATAGAAACTGTTATCACCGGACTAAGTTTCATCTGACGTGGTATGCAGTAGGTTGTATATTTCCCATGCAGTCTGCACACGCTTCTACTAAAGCTGTGACCATGTACTACTGTAACAATGAGAGACAGACACTACAGAGTCTGTAACAATCAGATACACTCAGGGCAACAGCTGTGACAATCACTGTAACAATGGGGACAATCGATTATTTTGAAACTGCTGACACAGCTACCGAGCGACGGGACCAGTCCGGCAGACTACACGAGAGTCCATGGCGGTATAGTAAATAATAACACGCTGGTTAATACACACACAACGAAGCTAAGAAGTTAAAAACATTAGTTAAGTGTAAGGAGTAACCGTGACTCCTCGATGTACTGTATGACAGTTTCCACACACACACATTGATTGATAGAACATAAACGGCGTGATTGTAGTGAAAGTGGGCTAAGCTAGCGATGCAAGTATCACCAGAAAAGGGGGTACCTCATACAGGGATGCAGAGCTACTGTGAATCTATATATATTGTGGGCGTCATTTGTGCATGTGGGTGTTGGTATGGAATTCAAGTGAAGGTTTTAGGACAAATCTGGGAAGCAGTGTAATGTTAGTAGGTAATATAAATAACAGCAGATATTGATATGAGTGGTCCGTGGAGGGTTGAAGGCGGATGAACTGCCCTACCCGCTTACCCCGCTTCTGGTGCAGGAACTTTGCGCGGCCAATGAAAAAGGGACAATCTGACGTATGGCGGACGGCCGGGGACGTGGGTGTAGTGGACACTAACTCGTAGGCCTATCCCGGAGCCTCGGGCAATGTGGGAATAAGTTTGAAAGTTGCCAGCACGCTAAGAATCGCGGTGAAGCGTGTCCTATCAACACCTCCAAACTACCAGGATCTGATCATTTTGACACGATGATCCTAAAGCAGATCCGGGAGTAGTGCCTTTATATATCCTGGTCACAGTTGCAGAGGAATCTCCGACTTGAGATGGCAATGTCTGTGATGCACTTTCTCCAGTACTGCATAGTGGTGTTGCTCTGCGCCCTGAGCGTCGCCCTGTGCTGGCCCTTCAAACATAGGACTGGACAGAAGAAACTCACAATGTATGAAAGTGCCAGAGATGCTGACTTTATAGCCAGTACGTCAAACCTTTTAGCGAAACTTCAGCCACATAATCCACATCGGAAAAAGCAAGGTACGTGAAACATTAATTCAAATTGCAGACGTGCGCTTTACAACTGCAGATGGTTTAAGTCATTAAATGCTGCATAGTATAGCTATAAATGCTCTTAAAGAGGCTTTACACTCTGGAAAAGGTAACGCATTACCCTGGGTATTTTGTTAAGGAATGCTTTATCAAATTCTTTCCAAATCGTTACACAATCATCACATCTACTGTGTAAATAATTTAGACACATACTTGTTCATCTCAGAGTGTGTAAACCGATGAAGGGATAGTTATATGTTGGCACGAGGTGCTGATAAAGCTACATTCCACTACCAAGAGACGCAATTGGCCCATTGTCTCATTCTATTGTATTGTATAATTGTACCTCTATTAACAACTACTTGAGAACAGCAGATAATATTGATGCTTGAAAATGCCATCGTTGATTGGAAGTAAAACAGTATGACTTGATTGACAGTTTATGCTTAGAACAGCCGTGCTCAATATCAGATAATCCATTTAAGCGTTTAAGATTCTAAAATTCTGAACCAAATACGACTGTTCTACAATAGAACAAGTATGTATGTATAATAACCCACTTGCAAAATTGCACCATACGTGTTAATTGCTTTTTTAAAACGTTTTAAAGTACGTCGTCAGAAATGTCACAAGGATTCAATTGTCAATGCCATAATACGCAACACTGGCACATATCAAGCGATTGAATTGATTGTTGCTGAACCCAAGGCTAGCTAATTTCTGGAAGTTATGACGTTGAGAAGCCCTGTCCGTTTCAGCGAGTGACAACCGTATGGATTTCATTCAGACTAATGCAGGGGGATTGATTTTTCATTCTAACATTTCAGTGGGTACTTTTATGATAAAGGTCACACTATACTGGAAAATGTGTATGTAAAATACGAAGTGAGATGCGAATCAACGAATTGATTGCAAGTGGGCGTTTCCGTCTCACATCCGAAAATGGCTTCTTGGGTTAAGTACTACAACGCGAAACAAGCAGACATTTTTAAAGATTGGTTGTGTTTATAGTTTCCCCCTCGACAGGTGGATAGTCTTGTAGTTAGATATTCAACTTAGGTTAAGTACATATCATGATGGTTTGTAAAGTGTATTTGTTGTTGGGAGTGGGAATATTAGATCGTGTTTTGTTACGAGAATGGCTACGTTCGTACCAGTAGGACTACTGTAAGAATATAGAATAACTTTGGATTATGTGCGTACAATATATACATCTATCAAACAACCTTAAGTCATCTGGTAAAATTTGAAATGACCTGAAGTGACTTGGAATTGCCTGATATGAAAGAATGGCGAGATAAGTTATCTCTTATACGAAAACACTTTTACCCCTTTGACAAGATGTTGGTGTTAAAAGTTTAGCATCAACGTCGACGGCCTTTGTTGTCGTCTCTACATATAGATTCAACCTCTCATCTTCATCCGTTAGCGCACCTTCCTTCCTACATCCCTAACTACCCACGTTCCCACTGAGCAACTAATCTGACCATCCATTCATCTGTCTTTCCATCCATGTGCCCACCCACCTTCTGTCTATCATTCACCTGCCCATCTATCCATCTACCATCCACCTATCTGTCTATTCATCATCAATCTGCCATCTATCCATCTGTCAATCCACCAATCATTCCATCCATCCATCGGCTCGTCAGCTATCTGTCCATCTATCCATCGATCATCTGCTCAACCTCCCTCTGTCCATCCATCGGCTCGTCAGCTGTCTGTCCATCATCCATCTGATCATCACCCTTTTTCCATCCAGCCCTCTGCCCATCATCTACCTGTCATTCATCCATCTGCTCATAATCTATCTGTCCATCTATTCATCCGTCCATCCATCCATTTGTCCATCACCCTCTGCCCATCCATCCATCGGCTCGTCATTCTCTGTCCATCCATCCATCTACTCACCATCCTCTGTCCATCCATCTATCTACTCACCATTCTCTGTCCATCCATCCATCTACTCACCATTCTCTGTTAATCCATCCATCTACTCACCATCCTCTGCCCATCCATCCATCTACTCACCATTCTCTGTCCATCCATCCATCTACTCACCATCTTCTGTCCATCCATCCATCTACTCACCATTCTCTGTCCATCCATCTACTCACCATCCTCTGTCCATCCATCCATCTGCTCACCATCCTCTGTCCATCCATCCATCTACTCACCATTCCCTGTCCATCCATCTACTCACCATCATCTGTTCATCCATCCATCTGCTCACCATCCTATGTTCATCCATTCATCCAACTGCTCACCATTCTCTGTCCATCCATCTACTCACCATCATCTGTTCATCCATCCATCTGCTCACCATCCTCTGTCCATCTATCCATCTACTCACCATCCTCTGTCCATCCATCCATCTACTCGCCATCCTCTATCCATCCATCCATCTACTCACATCCTCTGTCCATCCATCTACTCACATCCTCTGTCCATCCATCTACTCACCATCATCTGTTCATCCATCCATCTGCTCACCATCCTATGTTCATCCATTCATCCATCTGCTCACCATTCTCTGTCATCCATCTACTCACCATCCTCTGTCCATCCATCCATCTGCTCCCATCCTCTGTCCATCCATCCATCTACTCTCCATCCTGTCCATCCATCCATCTACTCACCATCCTCTGTCCATCCATCCATCTTCTCACCATTCATCTGTCCATCCATCCATCGTCTCATCATTCATCTGTCCATCCATCCATCTTTCTTTCCACCCACCCATCTGCTCATCCATTCATCAGTCCAGCAATCAACTTAACCACCCTTCTGACAAACCATCCACCCATCTCTTCATGCACCTCTTCCTGATCCAACCAATCACTTGTCCATGCACCCACTCTTCAATCCAGCATATGTCCATGCATCCGTCCACCCATGTGTCCATCATTCATGCTGTCTATCACATCATCGGTCCAGCCATTTACCTATCTGCCCATTCATCCACAAAACCTGTCCATCTATATATCGCTGTGCCGACCTTTTGAAAGACGAGTAGACAAATGCACCTATTAGTGCCATTATGAGCTCGCGGCAGTATCTACATTTATCACAGACAACTCCGGTAGCAGTACAACGTTGTAAATACGTTAATGTATCTAATAATCTTTAGATTAGAAGTTACATTTAGTTAGATACCTCTATTTATACATTACATTCATTTAGAATTCAAAACATCCACGCCAGAGAATAATCAGTCTCCACAGACGCAAAAGGCAGAACAGTGATGAAATTTATGTGAATGAATCACTGAAAATCAGAAATGACAATTGGTATTCGCGAAAACAGTGAGCATGTCCTGATCTACGAGTAGTACCCGCCACTTGGTGAAATGTGCTTAAGCCCATGTTTTGTGTTCCTCAACGTAATGTTTCCTTGAAAGTAAAACTCTCACCAACATATTTGCGCGTTGTTGCAGCAGTCGCTTCCGCTGGGTTTTGTTTGTTTGCTGTTTAACGGCGCACTCAGCAATATTCGAGCCATATGGCAGCGGTATGTATGTAATCGAGTCTGGACCAGAGAATCCAGTGATTGATCTCATGACCAACAATCTACGCAATTGGGATACGATGACATGCAGCAACCGAGCATGGATTGCTGAAGACCAATTCTAACCCGGATGTTGAAGGGCATTCCGCAGGGTACTGTGTCGCCATGTTGTTATTGATGTGGCACTGATGATGTTATGTCAGAAAGACTGTAGTTTTCACACACTGATCACGCCAACACCAACCGTCTCATATCCTACTCTCCTTCTTTTGGCTTGGGTGTGTGGACGCCGATATCATTAAGATTGTTGTTCGTGTACACCTTGGCGATTCCAGGAACAAAAAACATCGTAATTGGCGGTTTGAGGCAAGTCGTTGCACCACGTCATACCAATAACCTAGACCGCGTTTGTCACCCCTTCTCCCTCATACCCCCCCCCCCCCCCCCCCCCCTCTCCTACCTCCGCCACACCCATTAACCCTACTCGCTCTTCAATCAGAACCCCTGCCGGCTATTACCACACTCACATGCCCCGGATAATGTCAAATGATATTCACTGCATGACTGAAATCAGAGTCCATGGAAGTAAGTATGCTTGGTGTCACAATACTCTATAGAATATTATTAATTAACTCAGGTACAGATGCACGAACTTATGAAACGTTAGATGTTGCTATTTGTCAAAATCGCTTCACGTATCTCAGCGCATGTACGCTGATGCTTTTGTGGAATCCATACACCTACTCAGTAGTACCGGTAATGATATGTATAAATCAAAACCCAAAGAAGAACCATCAGAAGGGATCATTTTACAGTGATTTATCAGACAATACAGCAGATGCTCGGAAAACGTAAACATGAACAGTGAAACATTTCATCTATTTCACGGCGTGTCAGCTTATATCACGTGGGAGGAAAGGTCGAAGTGATGTAGTTAGCTTGCTGTGTATTTAAGAACATGATATGGTGCTGACAAACGAATACTCTTATCACAATCGCGGCGAAATTGCGATTGAAAACCATTATGAGACGATCAAGACTCGCCAGTGATGACAGAAACTCGACAAAACCGTGATATGTCATTTAACATCCAATATTATACATGACATCAATTGAATCAGCAAACAGTGTAAACTGGTGCAGTGACAGCGCCACATCCTGATTTTCAGGGTCCCTCAGTTATATATAGTCCAACGCATTTTTACGTTTATAACTCCATTAGCGCACACACTTACTTCAAAAAATGCTTATTTAAGAATTAGAACAAAAAACTGTCGTCAAAAATATAAAATCATTGAATGTGTTCAGCGCAATAATGCAAACCGAATAGCTGCCATATTCGTCCACTCCAGTATTAACCAATCAGGAAACTAATAATCCGTGAGTGGGCGTGGCATATATTTTTTTCGGGTTATGGAATATAATTGCAAAAAACTATTTGCATGGTTAGCCAACCAAATGCCTTGGAATCATTTGCAATT